CACTGCTCAGGTCCCGGGCACAGATGTCCATGGCATCGAGGATCTGCAGCAGCTCCTCCACGTCACTGTCGGGCACCAGGCGCTGGATGTCCTCCATGGTGTAACGGCCGCGGTAGTGGTGCAGGGCCCGCGGGGTCTCCACGGAGAGCAGCTTGCCCAGGACGTTGGTGCAGAGCCAGCGGGGGTCCAGGAGCAGCACGTCCTGGACCGTTTCACTCTGCATGATGTTGATCTGCCAGAGGAGACAACGACAAGTCACACAGAGGAACCTAAATGAACAGGTACCAGCTGCTCACAGAACAAACAGGCCCGAGCGGTGACAATATCTGAGCAGATGTTGCAAGGAATGACTCCTCCATCATTAGTATGGCTGGCTCTCAAATATCAATTACTAAGCCAAAAGCCAGCTTGAGAAGAGAAATTTTGAAAAGACTGTGGACTCTTAAAAAAACAAAACAAAATGTGAGAGATGGCAGCTATGGAATGAGTGATTTTTGACTAGATTCTGTTCCAAAATAAATACATAAATAAGTAAAACCAGCTATAAGAGAAATTATTGGCACATGTGTCCAGAATGGGATTATTAATTATATTGTGGCTATGTGGGAAAATGTCCTCTTTAGGAAATACAGGCCAAAATCTTGTTTGTTTTTTTATTTTAGAGAGGGAGAGAGAGATAGAAACATCCATGATGAGAGAGAATCATTGATTGGCTGCCTCCTGCATGCTCCCTACTGGGGATCAAGCCCACAACCTGGGCATGTCCCCTGACCAGGAAGTGAACTGTGACCTCCTGGTTCATAGGTTGATGCTCAAACACTGGGCCATGCCAGCTGTGCTGTTTCTCCTAATTCATAGAAACAAACGCAGAGAGACAGCTAAAATGAGGAGACAGAAAAATATGTTCCAAATGAAAGCCAGGAACTGAATGAAATGGAGACAAGCAATCTACCAGATAAAGAGTTTGAAACACTGGCTATAAGGCTGCTCAATGAACTTGGGAAAAGACTAGATGAACTCAGTGAGAACTTCAACTGACAGGAAAAAACAAACAATCAGGGCCCTCCTGGGAGCATGTCCATGACTTTCTTTCCTAAACTCTAAGGGTCCCTAGCGACTTGCAACCAGGGGAGCAATGGGGACCAGCAGCTTGTCCCCTGAACCTGACTCAAAGGCCCCCTTTTCTCTGACTTTTCATTGAGCCAGTAGCAGCCCTGCCTTGGCTCATTTCTTTCCCATAAAGTTCCCAGAGAACAAAGCAGCCCCGCCTACGGTCTCTTGTTGCTTCTTCTACGGCTATGCTAATCCCTTCTTGCTTCTTCATGTCCCAGCGTTAATAAACATATTCTTAAAATCACACACACCAATTAGACCTAAAGAACACAGTAACTGAAATGAAAAACAAAACAAAACACTAAAGGGAATCAACAACAGATTAATTGATGCAGATGAATGAGCCAGCAAACTGAAATAAATGAAATAGAGACTAAAAAATAATAGAAAAGATCAATAAAACTAAGAGCTGGTTCTCTGAACAGGTAAACAAAATAGATAAACCTTTAGCCAGATTCATCAAGAAAATAAGAGAAACGGCCTAAATTAATTCGAAAAGGATAGAGAAGAGACAACCCACACCACAGAAATACAAAGGATTGTAGGAGGACAGTATGAGCAATGATACACCGACAAATTTGACAGCCTAGAAGAAATGGATAAATTCCTAGAAACAGAATCTTCCAAGACTGAGTGTTGTTTCTAGCAATCAGTCTGTTCATATTTTCTGCTGCTTCCTGATTCAGTAATCAGAAAACTCCCAACTAATAAAATTCCAAGACTAGAAGGCTTCACAGGTGAATTCCACTAAGTGTTCAAAGAATTAATACCTATCCTTCAGATCTGAAGAGGGAAAGCTCCCAAACTCGATTGCCCTGACACCTGGAGCCCTGCCCGGCCGCAGAGCCCTCACCTCGCCGGCACTGTGGAGCTGCTGGGCGATGCCCCGGAGGTCCTCCTCGCTGGCCAGCGGGTTCAGCTGGTCCTGCACGTCGTACACAAACTGCTGCAGTGACATCAGCTGGTTGGGCCCATTGAGCTTCCTCCAGGACGGCAGCGTGGAGATGATTTTCTCACACAGGTGAGTCATCGGAGGGCAGACCTGGAACATGCAGACACGACAGGTCGATTTACAGCTGGGGACTCGGCAGGAGACCGGGTTTTCATGGGGACTGTTGAAAGTTTTCAATTTAGACTAATTCTTGGTATTGGCTTGAAATGGGTTTTTAATCTTTTAACTTGATTAAATAAATCAGTCTGCTACAGACTCATCTACCCAACCACACCTTCCTAATTAAAAGCCAAAGCAGCCATCCCCTGCACCCTATCATTCATCAGGCTGTCCTCTGGTGGACAGTAGCTTTTAGGTCAGCTAAATTCCACTCCTTATTAAAAAACACACACAAAATGCCCAGGATACAGGCAAGTTTGAACTGCCTGACCTCAGTAGTGGAGGGTGTGTGTGTGAAGTGGACATTGTGCCACACCCCAAAAACACAGTCCCATTCCATTTGTTTATTATTTTATGTCCTTCAACAAATGTTGGTGAATTTTTTTCTACCTTTCTGCATTTTTTAAATATTTCACAAGTCGCTTTTTTGTATCATCAACTATATATAGAAAATCCTAATATGCAAATAGACCAAATGGCGGGACAACCAAACAACTGGTTACTATGACGTGTGCTGACCACCAGAGGGCGCGCATGGGACATGGTGGGCGCTGGCCACGAGGGGATGGTGGAGCAGGTGAGCGGGGGGCGCCAGACCAATGTGGGGCACTGGTTGCTGTCATTGGGGCGAGCCTCTGGTGGTTACTGAAAATTCTTTGCTCCCGCATGCTGTGGTCCCGCCTGGCGCTTGTACCCGCTATCAGGGCCTGGTGCTGGCCCCAATTGCTTGGTGTTGTCAGTGGGTGTGAGTGGTGGCTGCTGGCCCTGATCACCCCTCAGGGCTTTTCCACCTCCCCCTGCTCCTGAGGGGCGATCGGGGGCAGCAGCTGCTGCTCGCACCTGCTGCCAGCACCTGGTGCCAGTCCTGATTGCTCGGTGCTGTCAGCAGGTATGAGTGGTGGCTGCTGGCCTGATCGCTCCTGAGGGCTTCTCCACCTCCCCCTGCTCCTGAGGGGTGATCAGGACAGCAGCCACCGCTCGCACCTGCTGACAGTGCTGGCCCCGCTTGCACCCGTTGTTGGCACTGGCCCCAATCGCTCCACGCGGTCAGCGGGTGTGAGTGGGGTCAGTTCATGGGAGCAGGGCTGCGGCTGGAGAGGCCTGGCGGGGGTGCGGAGGATGGGCCGAGACCCTCCCTGTGCTTACTGCAGCCTCGCAGCCCACAGTTCCTTTCAAGATGCACAAATTTGTGCACTGGGTGTGTGTGTGTGTGAGTGTGTGAGTGTGTGTGTGTGTATAATTTTTAAATATATTTTTATTGATTTCAGAGAGGGAGATAGAAACATCAATGATAAGAGAGAATCATTGATCAGCTGTCTCCTGCACGCCCCCTACTGGGAATCGAGCCTGCAACCTGGGCATGTGCCCTTAACTGGAATCAAACCTGGGACCCTTCAGTCTGCAGGCTGACACTGTATCCACTGAGCCAAACCAGCTAGGTTGTATCATTATATATTTTAAAAATTTATTAAGTTCATTGGGGTGACATTGGTTAATAACACTTTGTTTTAGTAGTAAAATTTATACCATATCATCTATATATTGCACTGTGTGATCACCACCAAAATCTAGTCTCCTCCCACCATCGTTACCATAAGTTTGACCCCTTTAGCCCTCTTCATCCTCCTCCAACCCCCTTCCCCTCTGCTAACCACCTTTCTGTTGTGTCTGAGTCTGTTTTGTTAGATCATTTGTTGCCTTCTATTTTATATCCCATATATGAGGGAAACCATATGGTTCTTCACTCAAGTCACTTTTGAATTCTTTTGCAATTTGTAAAAAGCAATTTTAAATCACTAAAACTCAGAATTTCCTCCATTCTAAGGTGGTCCACTTTGTCCATAACAACCCATTCTAAGGTGGTCCACTTTGTCCATAACAACCCCTTCCCCTCGCGGCCATCTCCTTGTCTCTCTGCTCTTTCTTCCCCGACCCAGAGCAATAGATAAAAACATGTCCATGCAGCCACCTCGCACTGGGTCTCCTGAAAACTGAACCAAACCAAGAGGGCAGCCCACCTCCAGGGGTCACCGGGTGGCTGGGCAGAGGGGGGTTCCCGCCCTTCGCAGGCATGCATACTCACGGCAACAATCTGGCTCCGTATTTCTTGCAGGTGATTTCGAAGTACCTTCATGTCCTTCGACCCAGAAGCCCCAGCATCCAGAACAAACAGCTTATCTGAAATGTGAAGATCATTCCCAAACCTAGGAGGGAAGCGCAGGAGCCTCATCAGAGCCACGCGGTCTCGCCAGGTGTTCCCTCGGCCGGGCCCCAGGCTGGTCGGAGGCCAGGAAGTCCTGGGGAACTTCAGAGGGCCCCTCCCTGCTGTCTGCCGGGCTCTGTAAGGTCACACGGGAGCAGAGGCCTGGAGACACCCATGTGCTTCTAGTCACGCGGGCAGGCACCTCGGGCCCCACAGAATGGCAGGAACACGGTGCAGAAAGGTATCAGCTGCCCTGATGCAGGAAAGGTGAGGCTCAATGTGCTCACCTTACAGGTTATGAGAAGAGATGTTGTTGCAGTTGATAGAGTAAGAACAGAGGGATGAGCATGAAAGGTACAACTCAGATCTAAAAACGTTAGCAGAAGCCCTATTTTCATATCAGGAAGAAAAGAGGTAATGTCTTCAGTTGAGAGGAGTTGAGTTACTAGCACATTGCACAGAGCTGCAGGTTCAAGTTTTCTGTTGACAGGTACTAAGTAGAAAAAAAGGTAGGTTTACAGCTGTGAGTGTGCAAAACACAGAGTTTATTCTTGCATTATTATTATTTACTAATTGTTGTATTATTTTCCATATGAACAACTGTAGGCCGACTTTTGCCCTGCTCTGTATTTTTAACAGGTGACCCTGTGCGCATCCATATTTATAAGGGAAACAAAAGCTTTGCAGAACTACTGGACGTTAAGTGCATTCTGCTTTTCTCTGTTGGACTCCTCCCCACCCCATTTCAGAAAGTTGGTCAGGACCCCCTGAGTGAATTTCATAACCCAGTATTTTTAAAAAAATATATATTTTATTGATTTTTTAAGAGAGGAAGGGAGAGGGATAGAGAGCTAGAAACATCGATGAGAGAGAAACATCGATCAGCTGCCTCCCGCACACCCCCCACTGGGGATGTGCCCGCAACCAAGGTACATGTCCTGGACCGGAATTGAACCTGGGATCCCCAGTCCGCAGGCCGACGCTCCATCCACTAAGCCAAACCGGTTAGGGCATATCCCAGTATTTTGATAAATATTGATCAGTGGTATCATTAGATCAGTGATGGTGAACCTTTTGAGCTCGGCGTGTCAGCATTTTGAAAAACCCTAACTTAACTCTGGTGCCATGTCACATATAGAAATTTTTTGATATTTGCAACCATAGTAAAACAAAGACTTACATTTTTGATATTTATTTTATATATTTAAATGCCATTTAACAAAGAAAAATCAACCAAAAAAATGAGTTCGCGTGTCATCTCTGACACGCGTGTCATAGGTTCGCCATTAATGCATTAGATCAGGGGTCCTCAAACTTTTTAAACAGGGGGCCAGTTCACTGTCCCTCAGACCGTTGGAGGGCCGGACTATAGTTTAAAAAAAAACTATGAACAAGTTCCTATGCACACTGCACATATCTTATTTTGAAGTATAAAAACAAAGCGGGAACAAATACAATATTTGTATTTGCATGTGGCCCGTGGGCCGTAGTTTGAGGACCCCTGCATTAGATAGTCATAAAAAAACCCCAAAAAACCCTGACAGCTCAGACAACTAAAAGAACTAAGGATCTAATGTATAACATGGCGACCATAGTTGACAACACTGCATTTTACAGTTAGAATTTCCTTACAGAGTAGAACTTAAATGTTCTCATCAAAAAGAGAGAGACCTAGCTGGTTTGGCTCAGTGGATAAAGCATCAGCCTGCGGATTAAAGGGTCCCGGGTTCAATTCCGGTCAAGGGCACATGTCTGGGTTGCAGGCTCGATCCCCAGTATGGGGTGTGCAAGAGGCAGCTGATCCATGATTCTCTCTCATCATTGATGTTTCCCTCTCTTTCCCTCTCCCTTCCTCTCTAAAGTCAATAAAAATACATATTAAAGAGAAAGAGAGAAAGAGAGAAAGAGAGAAAGAGAGAAAGAGAGAGAGAGAGAGAGAGAGAGGTAAATGATGATGTTTTAATTCACTAGGTGGTGTAAATACGTGTCACATCACCACAATGTATACTTTAAATTATCTTACAGTCGTATCTGTCAATGATGCCTCAATAAACTGGAAAAACTGGAAAAAACCCCCACATAAAACAACTAAAAGGCAGTGGTACCAGGAGGTGATGAAAGAAGTTAGGGGGCTGTTGCTCCTTATTCTGTGTTATTGTTTGATTTGTAATATGTGTATTCATTGCTTTGATAAAAATGAAAAATCCAACAAAAAGGCCACCAAGGAAAGAGGCCTTTACTTCTCTAACTCCTCTCCCTAGTTCACAGGCCTTCCTGGCTGCCCCTTCCTTACCTGTTCCTGATCTCTTTCAACAAAGCCGTGTCTTTGTCGTATCCAAACTCGCCTCCAGCCGGACGAGGAACGTTCATGATGTCGGCGTGCGTGGCCACCAGGACGACGCGGAGTGGGTTCTTCAGCTTGCCGCCGAAGGCTGGGGGTGGGGAGCACAGGTTCAGAGGCGGGCCCCCCTTCCTGGCTGCCTCTCCCCCCAGGTGCGGTGGGGTGAGCTGGCTTCACTCCCCTCTGTCTCTCCAGGAGGATGTGCAACCTGCCTGAGGACGCGAGGCCACATGCCTGCTGCGCACTGTAACCTCTGGGCCGTGGGCTGCCAGTAACAGAATGAGCCTGTTTTCTGGGCCTGGCGGAAAGATGCTCAGAAATGACCACAGAACACAAGGCAGCTTCTCAAATCTATCTCCAAATGGGCCCACTTGCAGGGTGAAGGGAGATCTGACCTCTGACCCGGGTCACCCTTTAAAAGACCAAAGAAAGCCCCTGGATGCAGGGACGCCCCAGAAATGACTCAGAAGGGAAAAGGCAGTTCACACAGACGGCCTCTCGCTTTGGGGAGTGTTTAACCCTACCAGACCGCTGTACCGATTTTTCGGTAATTTCCGAATCTGCCGCTATACCGCTATACCTAATTTTCTATACTTTGCCTAGTACGTGAAAAAAATGCGTCGCAAACTAAAAATAACCAACCAATCGTGGTCAAACCTCATGGTTAGCCATTGCAAATGTCTGCCCCCATGTGTTTGAATTGACTTTGTGTGGTTTGACGTGAAAAAATTCTGAAAATTCACAATGAAACGAGCGGCTGATGAACCAAGCACTTCAACAGGAAAGCGAAGTAGGTCTAGGCTTATCACAGTCCAACAGGTGATCGATACTTTGGTTGATTCAGACTCTGAGGAGTCAGAATTTCATCAAGAATACGTTTCCAGTTCAAGTGACACAGACAGTGACAGCTCGAGCGATGAGGAGAATCTTGAACCTTACAGATCTAGAGCTAGATCGATAGTAAGAGAAGGGGGGAGCGTCCCTCAAACAGCTGATGGGGGAGATCTAGGTGGTGATGAAGGTTGGACAAGGAATTCTGTATCACCAAATACAGATCTGAATTTCACTGAGGATGGAAAAGGCCCAGTGAACATTCCTGGATCTATCACAGAGGAGAGTGAACCGATTGACTTTTTATCCTTGTTTTTGGATGATACTTTCTGGCAAAATTTGACAGAGAAAACCAACCTCCGGGCCCACCAATTGCATATAGCAAAGCCCAACTCCTACAATGCAAAAAATCTCAAGGATGCCACAGTGGAAGAAATGAAGGTTTTTCTTGGACTGAGGACCCATATGGAATACTTATGCATAAAGCCCAGCTATCGGGATTATTGGACAAATGAGGGCTCTGTCTTCGTTGGGTTTACTCCCGGATTTCAAAATGTTATGACTCGAGACAGATTCTTGGCCCTTTGGAGTTTTTTACACATAACTGATGAGGAAGACACAGATATCGATAAGACAGATAGAATATATAAAGTTAGGCCTTTCTTGGAAAGTCTGCTCCCCAAGCTTCTCCACTTCTATCTGCCAAAGCAACATTTGAGCCTAGATGAGGGGATGATCCCGACAAAAAACCACTTGGCCATCAAGCAGTATATCAAGGATAAGCCCACAAAGTGGGGCATCAAGTCTTTCCTTCTGTGAAGGCGAGACTGGCTACATTTTGAATGCAGAAATCTACACTGGTGCTGCACCGCTGCCTGTAAAAGACTTGGGCGCAGAAGGAAATACAGTTGTTCGTCTCCTGACCTCATGTGCAATGGAAAATAAATCTCATGTGCTTGTCATGGACCGGTTCTACAACTCTGTAGCCCTTGCTAAGTATGCACTGTCAGAACTACACACGGGAATTGTGGGAACCCTGCAGCAAAACAGGAAGCAGTTTCCTAAGTCGCTGAAAAGTGTAAAAAAACTTGCTAGGGGTGACAGTCGCTATCTATGTCAAGAAAGTGTAACATGTTTAGTTTGGCAGGAGAGAAAGCCCATCACATTTATTTCGAACTACCACGATCCAGCCCAAAATGTAGTAATAAACAGAAGAAATAAAGATGGCAGTGTGCAAGAAATACAGATGCCACAGCTGGTGAAGGACTATAATAAATATCTGGGTGGCTGTGACAAAAATGACCAGATGACCCGCCTTCACCGGTCTCGTCATTACCGCTGGCCCCGGCGGCTTTTCATAAAATTTTTTATGTGGGCCAGTTATAATTCTTATATCTTGCATGTTTCAAAGCAGCAAGCTGCTTCAAAAAAGCCAGTTTATTTCACCAGATATATTCAGAAACTGTGCCTGCAACTTATTGGTGGACACAGGACATCAGCCCACCGCCACCCACAAAAGGAACCCTGCGCTCAACGGATGACCCCAGGCAATCATTTTCCAGAGATTCCCCCTGGGACATTGTCTAATCATATCTGTGCTGTGTGCATGGGAAAGCACTCCAGGTACAACAAGCAAAATCCTGGAGTGTCTTACAAAGACAATCCATGCAAGAAGGTGAAGAGCAACATCTGGTGCTCACTTTGCAAGAAGTACCTCTGTGTGAAACAAGGCTCATCCTGCTGGGTGGATTGGCACACAAAGGTGGAATATTGGCGCTAGATGAAAGGTAGACCTATTTCTACAATGTCTCCAAGTTCCATCTTATTCTAACCACTTGTTTGCATGTAACTAACATTTTTCTGTATCATGCTGGTTTTTTTCTCTTTAATGCTCAGGAGCCCAGGTATAGGGGACAGTTAGGTTCAGGGCCTCAGGTCTGGTAGACTTAAGACAAAAACATGGAAAAGAGAGAGAGAAACAAAGAAAGTGATGGTGCCCCGTGGGGGGTGAAGCTCAGTGTATCTGGTTATGTGTGTGCTTTTCAAAGTAAAAATGATTATTTGAGTTTTGTATTTCACCAGAGAAGGCTGCTGCTTCTGTTGTAGGAAAAGGACATGCTATCTTCCCCTTGAGAATAAAGTCAATGCATCCAGTCAACATGATCCCTTTCTTTGCATGTGAGGGAGCCACAGAAGGCAGGAGAGCTCGTTCTGCTTATGAATTATGTACCCAAGAGGCAAAGGTGCGGTAGCTGTTGAAGGAGGTATTCCACTTTGCACCCAGCAAAAGTGCCCACAGCCCCAAAAGAGAGAAAGAGAGAGAGAAACGGCCCTCAAGGAAAAAGCTCAGAATCAGGCCCTGGGGCAGAAACATGTGACCATGAGACAACTCCCTGCAGCATGAAATGAACGGCTGGCCCTCGGGGAGCCGCCAGAGTGCAGACCTTCCTGCAGGGAGGAGGGGCGCAGGGAGCTCCGCTGTGAGCCACCAGCGGTCGGAGCCGAGCCTGGCGGGCAGCAAGGCCGGCGAAGGCTGCTCACTCGCCCAGGGGTGTCTCCGCTTACCTATGGGCTCCTCAACCGGCACAAGAGACTTCAGGAAACTGAGCCAGAAAACCACTTGATTCAGCTGGATCTCATAGGGTTCTTCTAGACTAAAAACGATGACATGGATTGACGTGGGGTCATTTGCAGCAAAATAATCATATGAGCAGAAGTAGACAGGGTTTCCAGAGAACTCCCACACGCTGAAATCGCCAACCCCTACGGAGAAAAACAAAAATGACGGTCGGGAAATGCCGCCACCCAATTTCAGGCACAGCTTTTCTAGCAGGTGAAGGTTGCCAGCAGGGGCAGTGCCGCATCTAGTTAACACACTGTGGACGGATCACGAGAATTATCGTGTTTTCTGTTCTAAGGCTTGTGGCCAATCACGAGAATTCTTTAGAAAGATATTAGCTTGTAAGAACATGTAATATCTTCAAAATGCAATGAGTATTTCATTTTAAAGCGTGCCTTTAACATTTATGTAAAATGTTTTTTTGTAACTCATTCAATAGAAACTTATCTGGCCACTGGGTAAAGCTAGCAATAAAACTACTGATCCGCAATGTGTTAAGTGTAGATCTATGTATGTAACACAGACATATCTTTATGACGTATGCATTTTGGAAGATCCCCAGGGCTTTTCTAGAGCCTCCCCCTGGAGCACAGGCGCGAAAGGTCTGGCAGCTAAGGCCTCAGTGTGCAGTTCTGGAACACAGAGAGAGGCCTTGAGCCCTGGGAGGCAGGCTTGGGGTGGGGAGGAGGCCGGTGCCGAGCAGGGGTGAGGGCAGAGCTGGTACGTGTGGAGGACGCCCATCTCCTTTCTCTATGCTGCAGGGCCAGCTTCGCTAGAACATTCAACTTGTAAGGGAGCAAACTGTGCATGGACTTGAATTCTGTTTCTCACCGGGTTCGGGATAATATAAGAGCCTCACAAAGAGGCTCCCGGTTGCCATTTTCTGAGTCCCTCCCTGCCTGTGCCAGATGCTCTTCCAGGGCCTTTCATAAACATCAGCTCATAAAACCCTCACGAAGGAGGGAACTGGATCTGAGAGAAATGGCTGCATCGTTGTTGTAACCTGGGCCTCCACAAGCAGGCGCTGTGTCCACACGGCTGGGGCTCGAGCCCGGGGTGCCACCGGGAAGAGGCAGTGGCTGGAGGGAGCAAACCATCCCGGCAACCTGGGAAGCTTCACCTCCTTGGAAATGTCTGACGGCAAAGAACACACTTGAAGTGTTACTTATGAAAGAAGACTGCCTGTGTCTGTATCAGAGCATTAGGCACGAGTGTAGATGCGTTTAAAACTAATTCTTCTATATTGATTGTATTTTATGAGATCTCCCATCCAAGTGCATGTTTAGCTCTACTTTAACAAATGTATGAGCCCTGGCTGGGTAGCTCAGTTAGAGTGTCATCCTGATATGCCAAGGTTGCAGGTTCAATCCCCAGTCAGGGCACGTACAAGAGTCAACCAATGAATGCATAAATAGGTAGAACAACAGATCAGTGATCAATGTTTCTCTCTCAAATCAATCAATCAATTAAAAAATGTATTTACTTGACAGTCATTTATTAAGCACCTACTGTGTGCCCTGTGCTTTATTAGGAGCAGAGGATATCACGGTGTTTGGCTTTACCTTTTAGGAGTATTAACCAGCCCTGCTTCAGTCCTGGGTCACTTCCAGCATCACTGCACTGGCTCCTCCTCTGCGCCCGTGGGGCTGGGATGGGTGCCCCCGGGCCAGGCTCCCCAGGGGGACCACTCAAAGCCCTGGCAAAGGGACGCTGGCAGCCCTTCCCTCTGCGGTGGGCAGGACGTACCGTTCAGATAGGCGTTCTGGATGTCGATGGCCTTCGTGGACTGGTCATCGGCGGAGCAGTGCGGGTGGTGGGACGGGGCCACGAACACCTCCAGCATCCCCTTGGTGAGGCCCGGCTCGAACATCATGCTGCGGCTCCTCACGCTCACGTTCTCGCAGCCCGGGTACAGGTTGTTGATGCTCACGGAGACTGCAGGCAGAGCAGGCAGGTGAGCCTCGCACAGGGCACCGTGCAGGCCTGCCCTCCCTCCCTGCCTTCGCTCCTGTGTTGTCCTTCTCTGGGACATTTCTGTCCCCACCCCACTCCTGCTTCAGGCCCCGGGGTTGCGGTGCCCCTCGGGTGTGCTGTGCACAGGACTTCCCTGAGATGTTGGGCTGATTCTTTCTGTCTGCGCCAACCCCCCCCCCCCGCCCCCTCCCCAAGGACTGCATCTCCCAGGCTTGCTTGCCATTTACTGCTGCGTCAGGTCAACCAATGGGAGGCCCTGGAGAGGCTGGGAGGAGGGAAAGGCTGCCTCCTGGCCCTGCCTCCTGGCTGGTGGCTCAGCTTTTAGCTTCCAGTGTTTTCAGGAGATGGTAACACAAAGGGCCATCTTTCCTGAGGCAAACAAGTTTCCTGCTGTCTGTAGCCTCTCTCCCAGGAAAGGAAAAAGGCCTGGACGTTCTAGTGAGGTCAAGGGTCTGGGGGATAGCAGGGCAGGGACCCTATGCCACTCCGAAGTGACAATGTCGCTGTTTCTGGAAACAGACCTCCTTCCCTGGAGGCCACAGCACCCCCCACCCCCACCCCCACCCTCGCATCCCGACACAGCCTGCCCCGCCCCCGCCCCAGTCTCCCCAAGGCGGCCCTCACAGCACCTCATATTTGTGCCATACTCTGCTTTTCCAAGGACATCGTGAGTGCTGTTTTGTGAGGGCTGGGAAGTGACTGGTGAGCTGCTGGACTAGGGCTCAGGGGCCCAGGCCCTGGTGCTGCTGCCCCTGCTGGTGGCTCCCTCAGCCCAGGGGGTGCCTGCCCTGCACTGGGCAGGAGGGCCTGCCACAGAGCCTGCAGGCAGAGCTCCTGCCCTTTCCAGGCCTCAGGCAGGTCTAGATTTAACTGAGGAGGAGTCTCTCTCTTCCAGAGACTGTTTGGGTGGAAACTTTACCCCCACCTCGGCATCAAGCACTACAGGCCTCTATGGGCTACCCTTCTCTTCCGCACTTGCCTAGGCCCTCCAGGAGGCCACCTGGCTTTGGCCAGACAGACCTGGGACTGAATTACACCTCTGACATTGACTAGGGGTCACCTTGGCCCACACACTCCAATGCATTCCTAAAATGTCATTTCTATCACAGGAAAGAGTTCCATGCATGGGAGTGGGGGGGTGGGGGCCGGGGGTGGGAGTCCGCTCCTGAGCTCTCTCTCCTGGCCTATGGGAGTCTTGGACAGGGGGCTGGGTGGATGGAGATGGGGCAAAATGCAGAGCCCGTGCCCCTCTACATGAGGCCGCCGCCTTCCTCCCCACTAACTGGCACCAGGCAGGAATGTGCATCCAGCGTAGCCAAAGCTTCCACTTTTCCACAAGAAGCAAATTATTAGCTTTTTAGTGAAATCTCTTCATTTTCCTTTAAAATTTTAATTGCATTTATTGGGGTCACATTGGTTAATAAAATGACATATGTTTCAGGTGTACAAGTCTGTAATACTCATCTGTGTATTGTGTTGTGCTCACCACCCCAAGTCAGGTCTCCTTCCATCACCACCTTCTACCTGCCCCCACCCCCTCCCCTTCTGCTAATCCCCATACTGTTGGCTGTGGCCTTGTGTTGTTTTATTTTTGCTTAATCCCTTCACCTTTTTCACTGTTGGCAGCTAATGCAATTTCCCCTTTCCCCTCCCCCTACTGCACAGCTGCAGCTGGCCAGGCTGCTGGGTTTCAGCCTCTGCCTTTGGCAGAGACGCCTCATGTCTGTGAGCCTTGAGCTACTTTTCTCTGAAATGGGTTTATGACACAACCCATGAGACGTCCAATGAGACGATGTGTGCAGCACCTGGGACACAGGTCAGCGCAAACTCTGTTCATCGCACACCCGCCTTTCCACACGCTCTGGCTTCTACCTAAGCTTTGTTTCTGTCTCCCAGGGAGCAGAGCTCTGTCAGCTGGGCAACCGTTTGGTGTCCCCTGGGCCTTCTCTCTCCGTGTTTCTGGCATCTGTTACTTTCTTCAGTCTTGCACGTCCCCAAGTGGACTTTCTTTCAGTCCAGGGACCACAGGCAGCAGAGCTGTGCTTCCTGCGAGAACAAGGACCTCAGCCCCCGGAGAAGGGGACAGATCTAGAAGGTGTTCTCCATTCTGGTCAGAAACCAGCATCCTGAGATGACAGGACACCAGGGAGAGTCTAAAGAGCAAGGACCCATGGGATACAAGAGCTGTGTTCACATCCTAACAGTCCTTTTGGAGAAGCCTGTCCTCCCTAAGGGGTTACCCTGACACAGAAGTTTGTGGGTTCAGCTAAAGAAGACCGCTCTGAACCAAGGGAGCCTAGAGGAGGAGGAGCCTCCCCGTGAGACCCACAGCGTCTCTGTGCTGGGTGCCCCTGGGGTGGCTCATTTGCTCCAGAAAATCTTCTGTCACTGAGCCCCGCGCCCCAAGTCCAAGCACCGGCTGGAGGGCGCAGTTACACCCGGGAGACTTACTGAGTTTAATTTTACCAAGAATCTACTTCCAGATTCTCCCAGGTGTGGGAAATTGACCCTGAGGAAGATGAATGGAGCTGTTCCTTCTGAGAGCGAGGGTTGAGCAGCAGTTAAAATCTGTCCCTCAAGGGGAAGCCAGCGGCCACTTGATGTGTGGCTGGTTCAGTTTAGCTCACGGGACCTGGGCCATAATCCTCACACCCAGTGAGGACTTCTAAAAATTCCAGATCATAGATCCAAATAGATCTCTGTTTTCGGTCTCTCTGTCCCACACACACACAGAGTTTCCGCCCTCCCTGCTCCCTAACAGTGGTTCAGACTGACCTTGGCCCACAGCAGGAGAGAGCTGGCCTGCCTCCCTCTGGGTGACACCAGAGAGCTGACCTTGAACTAGGAACACTGGGGAAATTACAGTGGCAAATGGAAAGTGTGTGCACACAAAGCCCTTACTCAGAAGTTGTGTCGTTACTAAGCCGTGGCTCAGGAGCCAGACACTTTGTGAGCTGCCTGCTATAACCCTGTCTCATGGATGAAATGAGGTTTCACACGGCCACATTTTGCCCAGCTCCTGACACACAGTTTGTGTTCGGTAAGTATTAGCAAAACCAGTTAGCAACTTCATAATCATTCTAATTAAAAATCCATTTTGGGTTATTTTTTTCTCCAAGTTTCTGCTGTGTTCAGAGACAACAAGTTGAAAGGGCATATAAAGCTCAGTCACCTGTCCCTCACACAAACGCCCCCCAGACCGCCCTCCTCCTGGAGAGAAGAATTACATAGAAACCCAAACTATAAAACGTTTGTTTTCAACCTCGGGCACCGATACGACAGCTTTGCGATATGATGCACAGGAAATGAACCCCAGGCACAAGGCTTCAAAATTGATGTTGCTTAGGAAACTCTTGGAAGGTCTCTATTCTTATCTTAGCAAAACGTAAGCCCCCTGCTCTAAGGTGGGGTTCTGGAGAAAGAACACCCAACTTGCACACCTTCCTCTTGCTCATGGCGGTGTTTCTCCCTGGGGAAGGACAGATAGCCCCGAAGTTCTGGGTGTGAGTCACTGCTCACTGTGTCTGAGGGAGGCAGGGGAAGGCAGCAAAGCCTGCTGCCCTGTCTCTGTGAGCAGAGGGACAACTGGGAAAACCGAGCCTTTCAAAACCACCAAGCAACTCCGAGTGTGTGGGATGTTGATCCCACGTGAACCCAATTTTGTTGCTCTGACTTCCAAGAAGAAAGCATGGGGGAGGAGCCATCCCGGGGCCAACATTTGGTCTGTGCCCCCAACTTCAGCAAGGCCCTTTCCTTGCTGTTCTGGGGGCAGCTTGCAACTGCTGGGCAATAGCAGGGTAGATACCAGGCCCAGGGCCGGGCTGGCCCACACCTCATAGCCACCAAGGCGCTGGAATCCAGTCGGCCCGGGACCCAGCGCCCATAACTAAGCCACCGCTCACCCTGGACCCTGACGCAGAGAGGGCAACCTCCAGCACCTACTGCAGACCCTGGGGCCGGGGTGGGGGCGCCTACCTGCTGGCTTGGAAGCCAGGGGCGAGGGCGGGAACCTGGTGGAGTTGGTAGAGGAGAGCCGGGGCCGGCGCCGTCGGAAGAAGCTCCTGAGCAGCCCGCACTTGAGCGATTCCACCAGCGTGGTTTTCCCCGAGCCCGAGTGGCCGAACAGCTTCAGTTTGATTCTGGGCTGCAGGTTCTGTGTGGGCCGCAGCTGCTGGATGAAGAGGCTTCTGTGCGTGTCCTGAGCAGATGACAGAGGGCCTGTTAGTCACCACAAAAGAGGCGGCCCGAGCAGGCGGCAGTGCTGGTTCCCAGGGCTCCGCACCCCTGACTGGGTCCTCCTGGCCGGCCATTCTCACCCATTTTGTCCTGTCCTCAATACATGTTTGCAAAACTCACGTAAAGTGCACGTAACATACAATTCACCACCTTAACCATTTTGAAGTGTACCATTCAGAGGCTTTAGGACATTCACCATGTCGTACAACCAGCTGATCTAATCAATCCTCGTTCTCTCAGTTCCCTCGGATCGCTCACTTCTCTCCTTCTCTCAATTTGCCTAAGAGCCGAGCCTAGTCCCAGAGTGCCCAGCCTCGTCCAGGAGGTTGGAGCCTGGCGTAGCCCCAAGGAGTGGAGTTGAGGCCTGAAGAGGTAGAGCTGGTCCCGAAATGGTGCGCCTACATCTGTAGCCCAAGGTAGCCCGTAGCCCAGTAGAGCTGAGCCCGGACCGGAAGGGCGGAGCCAAGACCCTCAGAGCACCTGGCTCAGGTGGGATGTTCCATGAAGAGGGGTGGTGTAAATGATGCAACTCAGGTGCACCCCGTAAGAGCGTGCCCGAGGCAAGCGCCTCCTTTCGGTGTCAGTGTGATCGCAGACCTGGCCAGACCACTGCTTCCAGTTCTAAATCCTGGGAGGCGCTGACTGACTACCCGGCCAGTTAACTTTCCCCGCTAACAGCCAAGCAAGCTCATCTAACAGACTCAGGACTCTCCTTTAGGCTGCGAAGTTCCCACCTGTTTTCTATTGAAGTGCGACCCTTCTTTCTCCACAGGGCCACACTGCCCCCTGGCGGGCAGGTAAGCCACCTACAGAGACATTTTTAGCTCTTACGTTGGGGGACGCTTCTGGCAGGGGGCCCCAGGTGCCCAGATGCGTATGAACATGGTCCTGAGCAGTAAGAATTCTCCTGGGCTGATTTCTGAGTGTCTGCTGGGCATTTATATAGGAAATAAACCTGTTTATAATATCTGAGCTTAGGACTTACCTGCATCACTTTACATAGGACCCAGAGGGTTTTTAGGGAAGGCTGGAGAGGGGGCATGGTTTAATACATACCGAGTTTTCCAAGAATGCAGCTACTTTATAAATTGGTGGAAATATGTATATATATATAATTATGATCTTTCATGAGCTCTGTCCTTGCATTTCTGATAAGCCTGCCCGCAGTCGCTGCAGTGTTTGAGTTGCCATCCCAGCCCGCTGATACCCTCGGGCATCTGCAGGGTGATTCCGTGGGTGGGTCCAAGTATCTGCCGATTTCAATATGTCCCCTCACGCCCTGTGTCCCTGACCTGGAATCCAACCCGAAACCTCTTGGTGCATGGGACAACGCTCAACCAACTGAGCCACACTGGCCAGGGCTCTATTCATCTTTTAAAATTCCCTGAGTAGGTATGTTGTTATCTGTGACTGGCTTTTCAGGAGGGTGAAGAAGGCATCACTAAATGTGGCTGCACAATGCTGGACTGGCTAGGGCTGCAAACCACGGCTTGGACGGCAATGTGTAGAGCATGAGGTTGTTCTTACGCCGATTTCTTCCTCTAGCCTCAGAGTGAGGCGGAGGATAAAAAAGGCTGGGATTTGCCAGTAATTTCCTTGAATTATTATCCAAGTCAGCACGAAAGCTGAGAAGGTTCTATCCTGAGATAGTAACTTGTCGGGGTGGCGCTGACCAGGCTGGGAGAAGCGGGGTGTGGAGATCTCCTCGGTGCCGTCTGCTGTTGCAGATAAGCCCATGACGCCCCGAAGCAAAGCTACCTTCCCTCGTTTTAATTTAAGCTTCAAAACCAGCCCTTCGATCTTCCCTTTAAATCAGCCCGCCCTGCGCTGTGTGGCGAGCATCTGAGTTGCAGTCGGTGTCCGTGGGCATCACCTCCCATTCTGAGCATCTCAGGGAGTCAGACTAGAAGGGTCTCTGCCTATTTCGTGACACACAGCCTCCTAACACACAGGTTCTCTGTGTGGAGCCAGCGTCTGCTCCTGCTGAGACAGGGAAGGCAGCAAACCTGCTCCGGCTCTCATCCAATCACTGGACCCGGGTGCACCGTGCAACCAGTGAGCTCATGGCTCTTTTCTGTCTGTTTCCTGCCCTGTTGCCCCTTGACACTTTGGCCAGCACGTCTGTCCTGTGGGAAGGAATGGGGGCCTGTTCTCCTCGTCTGCAGGAGTTTCACAGGCTTTTCCATTCTGACTAGACTTGAACGGTGCCCCCCTCCTCCCTCGGACAGTGCGGCCCTGGTGGGCTTCCAGAAGCCTCCCTGAACCAAGGCTTTGCTCTCCTTCGAATTCCACGCAGGGAGTTGGTGGCCGGAGGCAGCTGGCGATCTGCCTGCCTGTTTTCTGGACCAGCCACAGACACGGAGCCGAGAGGGAAGAGGCAGCTGGTGGGAAGACTATCTGTCCTACCTCCAGTACGGACCTCCGAGCCCTCAAGGTCTCGACCTTGGGCGGTGTCCTTGGCCCCTGGTTTTAGCAAGAATCCTGTTGGATTGGTTTAGTGACAATCCCTTCTCCTGAGTTGATATCTGATGAAATTGCTCACTCCCATCCGTGATATCTGATCACCTGGCCTGCCCTCAGTGGGAATCCTGCTCAGTCTGTGCACTGTGCCCTTTAAAACGTCCTATTCCCCTGCTTCTTCAACATCCGCACGGGCCAGCTGGAGTGAGTCGCCAGCACTGAAGAAGAGCCAAGGAGGCCGCTGGTCCCACTCGGAGGACACTCCCGTTACTGCAAGGTCTCCAGTGCCATGCTGCTTTGTGGACCGTTGGATGTAAAGTAAGTTATGAGTCATTGCTACAAAAAGGCAAATAGAGCCCTGATCGGTTTGGCTCAGTGGATAGAGCGCCGGCCTGCGGACTGATGGGCCCCAGGTTCGATTCCAGTCAAGGGCATGTACCTTGGTTGCGGGCACATCTCCAGTAGCGGCTGTGCAGGAGGCAGCTGATCGATGTTTCTAACTCTCTATCCCTCTCCGTTCCTCTTTCTAAAAAATCAATAAAAAAATATTTTTTTGTAAAAAAAAGGCAAATAGAATGAGATAAGCCCTACCTGCTCTGGATTTTCAAACAAAGGGCACATCTCATTTCAGCACCTCTTTTCCTATGCAAATGACTTGGATTGCTGGCCTGTGTGCATCTCGGGTCCTCAGGGAGCTGAGGGAGACTTTAATTCTTTATCAGAAACAGCTGAGTCCCCATGTGAAGGGGCTCAGAATCATTGCGAGCTCACATGCTGTTTCCCAAATATGTAACTGTCCTCAGAAATCTTTTTCCCCCAAGAAACTTCTGTTATGCTGGGCTCACAGCTCAGCTTTACGATGTCCCGGATTCTAGACGATCACACGGACACACACACACTCTCTCCATTCGCGTGGGGACGAGGACGGCAGCGAGAAAGGGGATAGACACCCACCCTCCCCCTGCCCTCTGCCCAGGGCCTTGGCACATCTCCCCGGCCCCTCCCCCCTCCCCTTCCACCAGGAGCTGATGGCCTGCCTGGGTCACACCCCCCCACCTTGTCTTTGGGAAGATAAATCAGGAAACTGCTCTCTATCAAGACGGATGGAATCTGCCATCATCTTGAAACGCCAAGAAAAACAACATAGTCTCGCGTCTTCTCCTTTGTAAGGAAACCTCACCTCACCTGAAGGATGCTCCCTCCTTGTGCTCACTAAAAATCCCGCAGAATCTGAATGCAGCCGAGTTTGATAACGATGTACAGGACCCACAGAAGTTTCTGCAATCTCTCCCCTCGCGGCGGGCGCCGCATTATCACTTTTCACCACTAGATGGTGCAGCAGGGCCCTGACCAGTCTCCCCAGCAAGGCAGCTCCCATCAACCCGAGTGTGAGCTCTCCAGGGAGGCTAAGGTTTTGATGAGAGAGGCTCTGGAGGTGATAGAATATCGATTTCTTTGGAGGAGGGGGAGGAGCACAAAATTCCATCCACTGCAGTAGCATCGCCAGGGGGTGGAGAGTTGGGACTATGGTGGTCCCTAAATTCTGGCTCATGACTTGAAATACTTCCCTGTTTGTGTCTCCCACTGCACCCCCTGAGCCGGCGGGTGAGGCCGTGAGGCCTGGGTGTCTGTGGGTGTGGCTTCTTTCGTGCAGGGCCGCCAGGGTTGGGAAGACAGGGGGGAAGCAACCGGAATCTAAACCAGAACTGGCCTTCCAGGTGGTCATAAAGGTGTATTCCCTCTTGCTAGCTTTAGTCACATACTTTATTTATTTAATTAAAAAAATTTTTAAATTAAGTTATTACATATGTATCCTTATCCCCACATTACCCCTCATCCCCCCCACTCATGCCCTCATCCCCCTGTTGTCTGTGACCATTGGTTAGGCCTATATGCTAGCATATAAGTCCTTTGGTTGATCTCTCCCCCTTACTAGTCACATACTTTGAATACTTACGCAGGAACATGAGCCTCCGTTTGTATTCTTGCACAAAGTCATGGAGCCTGGACACCCACAGTCCACGCACCTTCCTGTCTCACCCGGCCATGGGATCACCGTCCATCTGAGCGGTGACAGGTAAATTCCTAAAACCTAAGTCAGGTCTTGCTCCCACCTGCTGAACACACCTGCACCAAGCCCTACTCTCTTTACCAAGGTCTGCGAAGCCTGGCCTACCTCTCTGATCGGAGGGTCTCGGGCATCATTCTCCGCCCAGACCACTGCGCTCAAGCTCCCTAGCCAGCCCCATCAACCCCGCCCCTCGGGCTGTTTCCTGGGACACACCCAGCCCTTTACTGCCCCAGGACCTTTGCCTCGGCTTTCCACCAAGCCTGTCTTGTCCTTCAGGAATTGGTTTAAATGTTGCCATCAGAGAGGCAGTCCCTGATGAGTCAGTGGAAAGTAGTTGCCACCCCCACCCTCTACTGCCTTTCATTTCACCCTATTTGAACCGCCTGCACTTACACCAGGGGGACAGCAAACCTTTCCGTAAAGGGCCTGGT